ATCACAGTCACCACAACTAAATCACTTCAAGTACATAATCTCTATTGTATTCTTATCGCTTTTAACTTCAATTGCATCAACAGATGTATTCTTATCGCTTTTAACTACATCAAACAAGTCTATCTCCTTTTGCTTTTCCCTCATCACCTGGAACACAGCATTCTACAATCAGGTATGTAAACTACAACTAAACCACTGAGCTTATACATTTACTGCTAAATCTTACATTACTAAACACCAACTTGTTTAATGACATGCAATGTTTAATTACAGTTACTCATAAACACCAATTTGTTCAATGACATGCAATGTTTAATTACATTTACTCCCTCAAAATACTCATTCAATGCACTAAATATTTTGAAAAATTTACCCTTCTCTTGTCCCTGTTTTACTACTGCATTTATTCATCATCCGCATATATTTTTGTATCTTTTACAATTACATCTCTTGATATCTCTTCATACTATTATTTCTCTTCTTCACTTTCCAAGCAATACAAGAAAAGAATGGACCGCAGCTTCTTAACTTTCAGCAACCTTAAGCCAGAAACAAAAAACTAGACTGCAATCATCCAAGTGGCTGAAAAACTAAAAAGACAAACTTCTAAAGCAAGGAACCCATATCAAAAGATGATACTCCTTGACACTGAGGTATAAAAATTCATTCACATACTATTCTATTAATTACAACTTAAACAATATTTTTTCATAATTCACATACTATTCATTCACTCCTTGACGTCAATATTTTGAAACAGAGAAACAGCTTAAACGCCCTCATCTATGGTTCAGACATCAACTTTTTCAAAAGATTCTTCATCCCAGGAAAAAGATACATCATCTCAAATGCTAGAATTCAATATACTGATGAGCGATACTGCACCAAGGAAAACAAATGCACATGGATTATAGACAATTCATCAGTCGTCCAGGTAGTAGATGAACCAGAGCTACCAGCTTTCCCACATATCTTCACATTTACCCCTTTCAACAAGCTCCAGCGCCATATTGATGACAACACTGAGATAAGTAAGCATCTAAACATTACAACCACTTTTTGCTCAATCAGTATTCTTAGTATTAACGCTCACAGTAAAATTCTGAAATAAGACGTGATAGTAATCGTCATCCATGTCGAACCAAGAAACAACAAAACACGAGTCCCAACTAGAGAAATTGTGCTGATTGATCACAAGTAAGACTTAATTTTATACTCATTCTGTACCAATAATAACAACTATACAATTATGCATACTCTACCTAACAAAACTACATACAGTTCTATGCCTGTAGCGCTGACTCTATGGGGTGATTACGAAGCAAAAGAAGGCCAAATATTGACTGACAAAATCCACACTCAACCAATACTTGCAGCCATCAAAATAAGTCACTTCTTACCACGGTAATATTCTCAATCCTTACTATGCTATGCTCCATATACAACAAAATACTATACTTACAATAGTTATACTAACAAATCAAATAAACAGCTATAAACATGTCCACCAAGTTTGCAACAACACTTCTCATCAATCCACCCCTTGAAGAATGTGTACAGCTAAACCAATGGTAACTAATTACCTTTTTGTGATTATTATTCTTTCTCTTCCATTACTTACATACAAAATCAACAGGGCAGCAAAAAATCAAGCTATCATTGCAAACCTCAAAGCACAAAGAGCCTTTCTCAATAGAGCTAAGCTGCTTCCAATTCCTGATGCTGAAGATGTAACAACAATCAAAGACTTTCTGAGGTTTCCGCAACAAAAAAAATACTGGGTACAAGGAAGAACCACACTGCTAGACAAAAGCCAAAAGCTGTGGTACTATGCTTGCCCCCAGTGCCACAAATCCCTCAGATCGCAACCTAACTGGCCAATTATTTGTACCTCTTGCCAGAAGCACATCAACGTTGTCACAAGGTTCAATATCTCCAATTCCAACACTAATTACTGAATACTACATAAACTAATAACTCACCCATTACTTAATAACAGGTGCAAGCTCACAATACAGCTTACAGACAACTCAGGGACTCTCACGTTTAACCTTTATGCACAAGATGCAGAACAACTACTCCCCTTCAGCATAACAGATCTCCAGAAAGAAGAAAATCAGGTATACACAATCCAATCCTTCCTCTACAAAAAAGTTGTATGTGTAATCACATTTGTCTATGATTATAAAAGTTTCATTATTCTGAAAGCCTACTCAACTAAATAGAATAGTATGCTCTACGACATCATTGAAGAATCAATCAACAAAGCTACCATTGCTTGTTTCTTGAAGAAAACAACAACAAACTACACCACATTCAACACTGATAGATGCACTACTATCATAGCCCACAAGATTGACCCCAAACACACTGCAGTGCCACCAACCAATGAAAACCAACCAATGGTTCCACATGAAAGCACAAAGGCACATGAAGAAATTGCTCAAACTTCTACTAAATTAATCATAGTTGACCTTTCACCTGCAATTGCTCAAGCTTCTACTGAAGTTCCAGCAAAATCTACATCAGACACACTTCACAGCAGTCTCCTTGACTCCCTCAAAATTGGAGAAAGTCCCACCAAGAAACAACGTGTTACATTATCCAAGAAGCAAGACTAATGCTACAGAATATAATGCCTTGCTCTTCCTTTTCTATCTTGTGCCATATCTTTTGAATCAGCTACTGCTTTCCTCTTTTGCATCTGTACATAACTGCCCTTTCCTACCAATACTACAGTCCATCTTTTGTATGACTATATAGCCACTCTTATCAACTAATGTATATTGCCTAATGTATATTGCTTTTATGTCCTAACCAAACATCTTTTCTATCAACACTTAGCTTCTCTTATCGACTAATATATATTGCTTTTGCATGGCAAAAAGCTTACTAACAGGTCTCAAGCTCCTACGCCTTGCGTGGGAAGCAACCCCTAGTATTACTTATATAAAATACTATAAAATCAAACTACCATAGACCATTCGGCGAATCTCTGATCCGTGTAAATTTTTGGATGAATCTCATTCTGACATCTTGGACGTTTGAGATGTTTTCCTAACTCACAAAGCCCAAGTAGCACCTCATGAATGTTTCTGCATATGATCGGGGGGGAATGTTGGAACTGATCAACAAGGCAATGTATATGATGGTTGTGATTTAACATAACTAAAATCATGCATATTGGCTCTTCTATGAGAACTCTTTTTCGGGGGTGTTGTGGGACATATCCCTCACTTAATAAAATTTCACATAAACAAAGAATCTACTGTGATCCTACAATTCTCAAGTAGTCTTGCTTGATGGTCATGAATCACTTCCTACATATAATCTCTTCCTCATAGGATACTATTTCTGTACAGTAGCGGTAATATATATCTGACAGCTCGTTCAACTATATGGTTGAATAGTATAACCATTGTCCATTGGATTAGTTGCCGGTCCTTGTCTTCCTCATCATTATCATTTAAACTTTTCCAAGTATTCCAACTACCATTCATGCTTTTGCTCTTACAATATATGGAACCTGCAGTATAATTTTGTAAAGGAGTTGGTTCGGTTGAAGAATGCCTACCTTTAATTCGTATAGCAAAAAATTTTATAGACAAATGGCATAGAAATTAAAACGTTTATTATCAAAATATTCACTTGTGCTAAAATATGGGAAGCCCGTTGCTCTAAAGCCCTCCAAGATCTAAATCTTTGCTTAACTGCAACTTTGCCTGGCACCTTCCAGTAGGAAGTAACCACCAATTTACAAGTAATTCATGCCCTAGACAATTCGCAAGGGGTGCAGCTATGAATGGACCCGACGGGCTGGCTTTTAATCTACTTTTACATAGTACATCGCTTGTCCTTTACCTGTGAGTAGACGTAATTAACCAAATAATTGAGGAGCAAAAAGGCTGCCAAACTTATCTCTATCATTTCACTGGTGTCTTTCATTGTGGAAAGAATATTGCATCTTGGCAAAAAAGGCTGCCAAATTTGCATCTTCAGGCACTAGTGTCGGTAGCTTCAACAATAAGAGATGGAACAAAGAGCCCGGCCAATTTTTCTTAATCAAGCAGCAATGATATCTACTACTGTGAACAAATTAGGGAAGCAAAAAGCTGCCAAGTTCATTTCCTCAAGCAGTGAGCCATGTGCATTTCCTTGAATTGAGGCACCAACTATTTATGTAGACCCACATCCCTATTGTCATTGGCAGTGAATTGCTTTTTACCTTCTTTTACGTTGTGGCGTGTCAAATTGATTTACATGCAATCCAAGTGGTAAGTACTGTGACATAAATTGTGATTGGTTCTTTTATTAGTCTTCACTAAGTGTCCATTGCCTTGTCAGGAATCTCATGGAATTGTTTATCTTAAGCCAAATGCCCCAAAGTTGAAAAAGTTTCAATTGCACTACGCAAGTGGACACATATATGCACATACATGTATTTTCGAACTGTATAGATATGTGCCTATGTACTTAGTCCATTGCCTTGTCAGGAATCTCATGGAATTGTTTATCTTAAGCCAAATGCCCCAAAGTTGAAAAAGTTTCAATTGCACTACGCAAGTGGACACATATATGCACATACATGTATTTTCGAACTGTATAGATATGTGCCTATGTATATATATAAACCTATGTGTGCGCGCACACACACAAACACATATATGTATGTATATTTATTTAAATATATGTATATGTACATATAAATGTGTCTATACACACATAAATATATAAATGTTATATATATACTTATATATATATATGTGTGTGTATACTTGTTGGGATAAATACACACACACATATACACATATGTGTGTATATATATATGTTGTATATATATATGTGTGTGTATACTTGTTGGGATAAATACACACACACATATACACATATGTGTGTATATGTATACACACATATATGTGTATCCTGCTGCTATCATAACCGGCAAGTGATATGTATAAAGAAAAGTGTCTCTAACCTGAAGTAGTAGTACAAAAATGGAATTTTTAAAATGGCAACATATTCAATTCCTAATAGCTTGCAGTTTGTAAACAGAAGTGAATCGAAGTGCCAACACTTATAGTACAAGTACACATCAAAAATCGTAATTAGAAAGAGTAGCCGAAGGCCTAGGAATGCTTAGTAGTATGCCTAATAATCTAAAATTGCTCACCAACGACACGCTTCCAGACAATCCCAATCGAGAATGGGTCATGTTATACATGACTTTGACTTCTCGATTCTACCTAGGCTTGTGGGGGTTTGGAGTTTAGAATGGTATGAGTGTAGTAGAATTGGAAGCTTTTAGTTGATTAGAGGAACATGTGGCACCACCTCTCATTCTTTTTGAACTCCTTCATAGATGCTAGCCGTTACATGTTCCGAAGTTCTACAGGCTCATGTTTTGAGTAGCTTTTGTCCCAAACCTTTAATGCAACTACATACCAATGATTACATCTCAGGTTTTTTTCAATCTTGATCTGTGAGAGATTTCTAATATTGGTGCCTGCATCTTGTAGAGCTTTCTTGGTCTTCTAAGACTTAGTGCCCCTAGACCCATCATGTGATAAAGTTCTCAGAATTGATGCTGGTCATTTACCAAGTTTGCTTGAAACAAACTTGACTTCATCGTTCTAAACAGGAATGTACACATTTTCATCCCAAAAGTCTGAGGTAGGCCCATCTACCTTTGCCTTGCCCTTGAGCCTCAATCCAGCATCGATGGTCTTTTCGGTAGACTAGGAAGAGTGGTGGACCTCACTCTGGGTGGAAAATTGGCCATGCTTTCTTTGGCTGATCGGCTCTCAAGAATTTCAATCAATTCAAAGAAGCAACTGCAACTGCGGTCTTGTTTTCCTACAAGCTGTGTGTCGAACCCATAACAAGGGACAATTCAAGTAGAAGCAACCTAATGTACTTCGGATTATAAACTTGCACTCACAAAAGTAGGAGCAACCTAATGTATATTGAATAAATAAAGAGGACAACATATGCAGATCTGTATGTGTGTCTTATTTAGTTCAACAACAACACAAGTATTATATTCTTATCCCCTAAGCAAAAGAATCTACAAGTTACTCTTGCTATTAAGGCTTTTAGTAGACATGATTAGACAGCTTTAATTGCTATTACACATTAACTAAGCATGGCAGTTGTAACTAAGGCAAATAAAGCAATTAATCATAAAGCCAAGTAGCAATTCAAGTTGTCATAATTCTAGTTTTCCTTATAAGAAGATTGACAGCAATTCAGCAAGCTATGACTTGACTATGAATAAGCTTTATAAACAGACAACCCCACAAGTATTCCAAAAATTTGAAGAAGCAACAGACAAAAGGCTAAACTTTTATAAGAAAGGGCATATGTACCTACTAAAATTTCAGTATAGTAGTCAATTGATTGTAGGTAAATGTAGAAGATTAAGAAGTTTACCCGCTTCAGAGCACTCCATTTTTCCTTTGTAGCCTAGAAGCACAAAAAGTCGGTATTAAACGATTGGCATTAAATCCAACTCTCATCTCTGCGGTTGATCAGGATATCCCATTTAGGCATACAAAAACTTTCGCTCAGTTTCTAACCTGTAGTACTTTGATCGGTACTGCTCCCACTTCAAATTAACTCAACACTTGTCATTCATATGTAGGGACAGGTGATACTAGTTGGACCTACCCTTTTGTAGCTTGTTCCAAGCACCATTCCCGTGCCACTCTACCAATGTTGCAATGAAGGAATGAAGGTTGCCTCTAAAGTATGGTGGTTTTTCCAATCAACTACTTTGAAATCATCATTCATCTAATGCAACAAATGTACATTAGTGACAAATCACAGGCAGATATTAAAAGGAAAAGTGCTAGCGTAACTGGGTTCTGATATTTAAAAGGAGGACCTCGTGTACACCTTGAGGAAGTAGTTTCTTGCACAAGCACCCAAATCATTTGAACCGGTCTTGGAATGTGCTTACTGGACTGTACACAAATAAATTATAAAGTAGACGACACAAATTGTTGAGTAAAAAGAGTTGTGAACCATTCCTATACATCATAATACAACAATTGTCATTTCAGAAGTAGTTACACTATTAGGGAGTCCACAACTAATGCTTCTAAAAAAGAAAACTTTAATGCAAGTGAAAGCAATATATAACAGCAACAAAAAAGTTGGTATAGGCAATTAAACCAAAATTTGACATGCACAAGGGTCTTACCACTTCTCTTACGGACTCAACGGCGCTTATAGGGCATATAAACATGAGGAAAAAGAAGATTGGTGGAACCTTAGATTTTCAAAGTGAGTGGCTCCACAAATGAAAGCACTTATAATTGTAATGGGACATTAAGATGGTAAGTGCTAAAATCGATAGACAAAACTGTCTCCCCTATCTTTAATTCAATGAAGACACCAAGGGAACATGAGGGACTGCATGTGGAAGTGTATTACCATGGAAAGTGAGCACAGAAATTGCAATATAAATATTTATAACATATTACACAATTAGGCGACAACAAGTGTAAGTTGAAACCATATTATAGTGTTAGACAGCAAACTTTTCGCTGTACTGCCAAATTTCCTTACTCGCCAAAGCTTGTAGTTCATTGCAATTGCTTTTATGGTGGGCTCGCTTCTAGAATTTGAGGTATTAAGAAGGAACTACTAAACAACGTAATTAGTGACACAAAAGTTAGTGTAGACATGATATCAAATAGCCAGCATCAATGCACAGCCTTGTTCATGGAACTCTTTCTTAATTTTGTACCTAAATATGAACCAACATGGAAGCTTATTTCCTTATAATCAAGTCACAAAACTTATATCCATCCTATAATTCAAGTTACAGATAAAAAATTCCAACAATAACCTTATCCTTGTTGTTACCATGGCTGTCATGCTAATTAATAAGCCCAAACCGAAATGTAAACTACCAGAATCGAAGAGTTTCAATGGCAATTACCCCAAAGGAAAAATGAGGTAACTAGAATCACAAGGTGAAGCAAATTGGATTAGTATAAGAGCTAATTCAATAGCAAACACATTGCCAAAAAGGCACGATTGGCTCCTTGCATTCGTTTTCAGGAAAATTTTAAAAATAATTATCAACGCTAATTTTGAAGAAGAAGTATACAGCCACTATATATTTCATATGGTAACAGCACGAATTTGAAGATTGGTCTGGACCCCAATTCTTGAATGAAAAATGTGAAGCTTGCAAAGACAGAAGGAAACGTACCTAATGAAAAAATGTACGATACGGAGCAAGCCATCGATGGAGATGGCTAGGGAGAAAAAGAAAGGCGCAGAACTTCTCCAAGTGAATCTTAATCGCACACTTGCAATGGCCAGTCTTCGATATGTGTGATTCTTAGACAAGTATGCTGAAAATTTTGGTGGTGATATAGTAGTCCAATGACTATATATGTCGTCTGAGTTGATGCTGGTTGTAGGAGGTTGGAGGTGATAAAGAGGGGGAGTAAAGTGGAAGAAAGTAAAAGACTAAAGGACAAGTTTTTGGTGCTTTGTGAAGAATCTCTCTAATGGTCAGATTACACTCTATCGTCTTTTAACTGTTTTGGATAAAATGTAGTGGGTGAATTATTTCGATCAACAATAGTCAATTTTTCCAACATCTTTACTATTCTGAAATTACAATACAGGATACTACTAATCCAAACATAACCCTCATTATCTGTTATTTTAGGAGCCTTCCTTTCCTATCGTCCCACTTTCACCTCCTTATTTTTTTAGTTTCGTCTTCATTAATAACTTATGCCAACTTTATATGTGCTATTTTATATTATTGTTTAAGAGCCTTGATAATTTTTTTATTTTTATTTAATTTTCAGTTTTGTTGTTGTTGCCAATAATAACTATGCCCATTTAATTTTCACACTAATTACTAAACAGATATTCAGTCTAGCATTATCAGTTCTATCCATGTTCGAGGTTTTTAATCAGTAGCAAACTACCTCATTCGAGAATTTAAGATATCATCACTTCAACTACGTCCATTTTAGCAAGCGTTAATCTATTTCTTTTTCATTTTCTTTTTTCACATCATTTTATTTTCTTGGCACAAGATGCAAGTCTAACTCTATATATTATAAATTCCAATAGGTCCTACAACAAATTATTTGGCCGATAACATGTCCCTATCCTCACCCCGGTAGTTTGGCAATATTTTAAAATTCGAACCGTTAATTGAACCGATGAAAAGATTGGGTCGAGGCTGAACCAGTCTGATTCAATAAGTTTGTGTGTGTGTAGACATATACACATACACCTGTGCATAGAATAAGATATAAATGCTAAAACCATAACTAACGTAAGAGCAATATTATAGTTATCCAACTTACTTGTCCAGTTGTGTGAGGACCCGAAAATTTTCTTATTTATCGAATATTACAAGTTTACTTACATATTTATTTACTCATTTTCTCCGAATAATTTATTTCGACTATTTAAAAATCCATTTATATTGAACAACGCCCCTTTTATATTTTAAAGCGTTTTGTTGGAAAATTCACTTTTCAAACATTCGTTTAGTTCGAAATAACGAGTACACATTTTTCGAGGCTATACTTAAATCGGGAGTGTATTAATATTGGAGAGTTAAGAATGATCAATGACAGATTAAGAAAGGTTAATTGAGAAATTAATACTCGACTCATGTGAGGACTCACAAAATTTATCTATTTTAACTTCAAATTCTAGCTCATTTAATTATTTATTTCGCCATTTACTCCGAATATTATTTTCTAGTCTCTTGAGACCTAATTACATTGATTTATGACTTACTTATATTTTTAGAGTGGCTCGTTTCAAAAATTAATTCTTCGAGACCCGTTAAGTGAAAATAGTGAACGCACGTTTGGGAACGATAACCGATTTAAGAGAACAATGAGGATTGGAAAAATGGAGACATCTACATAATCCCTAAAATAGGTATTTTTATGTTTAAGTGCTCAAATATTAATTAATAATATTCTTGTTATAAGAATTTCTTAGAGATTTCGCGTTATCGCGCTTAAATTAGAAATACGCGTTTTCACACGTGCGATTTAATTGAGGGACTTTAGACCCTTAGTTGGGGGCAAGTAAGAGTGAATAATATTTATATGAATATAAGTGCATTAGAGGTTTAGTGCTCTAGTGCAACAAACTTAAGAGGAATCGAGCACAAAACGCGCGCACGCGCACTATTTGCGGTTGACTTTGTGCACCCAATACTTAACCATTAAGCTACCTTCAAGAAGCAAGCTCCATCAGATTTTTCTCTCTCTCTCCACACTTTCAACAGCCGAACCAACAAAGGAGAAAAACAACTCCAATTCCATCCTAATTCCTTCACCAAATCTTCTCCATTTCACTTCAAATTTCAACCATTCTTAGCTAATCACTTGGAGATTACATCAAGTTAAGAAAGAGGGCTTCTTTCCACAGTTTTCTTGGGCATTTATTGGACCGAAAATTCTGTTCTAGTTCATCAAGAGAGGTAATGGACGATCAACCCTTTAAATCTTACTTTATGGAAGTAGTATTGCACATCCAAGCTTATGCATGCTTATGGGTAGCTTGTTATATTGAAAAAATTGTTGTGTGGGCTCTATGAACTCCCACTTTGGTTGGATGAACTGATTGGATGAATGATGATGCTAATAATGTTGGTTTAGTGCCTAAACTAGTGGATTAATGTTGGGTTATTGATAGAAACTCAAGGAGGGTGCAATAACCAAAAGTGACCATTTTGCCCCTGCTTTGTTCGAGCACTTTGGTGCAAAATTTTGAGGTTCTAATGGCTTTTTTATATTGTTTACATGTTATATTGAGTGTAAAAAGTTTCATTGAAAAATAACTTGATGTCACCCAAATGTTGAAATTTCTAAAGGTTAGAAAACTGGAATTTTGTTCCCGGATTGCCCAGGCAGTCTTCTTGTTTCGGCCATACCTTCTTGCTTTGATGTCGAAATTGAGTGCCATTTCAGGTATTGGAAACTAGACATTCCCAGATTTTCATTGGTATAAAATACATGTCCTGGTTCCACTTGACCTAGCCAAACCATTCGTTTGAAATCCACTGTCCTGTTTCGCCGCTTCCTGGAAGGCAGCACATGAGTTGCAACTTGATGCTCACGAATTAGTTGGTTATGGACAGATTTTGAAAATGGTTTTTTTCTGAAAAAATATATCCTTATGAGTTTGTTTTCTAACGTCACCAACCACGTTCAATTCCGAGTTGAATTGAGTGATTTATGATCGAAATTCAAAACTGACTTTGTGAACGAAAATAGTGTTTTGGACAATTTTGAAACTAACAATGACTTGGGACTTGTTATCCGGAATTTTGGTGATTAGTTACCTAAAAAATGTGTATTGGATACCTCTTAGACATTGTCTATGCACATGGACCGTGCTTGAGCTACTTTGTTGGCCAAACCTTTTGAAAACAGAAAACGGAACATACAAGGCAGATTTGCCTTGAAGTTCTTGGAGTTTTCGTGATTTCGATAACCAACTTCCTGAATGAATTTTCTTGTGAAATTTAGTAGAAGAATATCCCTTATACGGTAGGATAAACCTGCCAAATTTGGTGCCATTTCAAGTTCGTTTCGATGTTCAACCGATGTCCCAAAAACAGTGATTTAAATCTGGAAAATGGTAAACAGGTTCTAAATTTTAGCAACTTTAAGCTACCATATTTCGGTGCTTAAAACTCCAATTCTCGTTCCACTTGCTTTGTTTTAAACCTTGTTTGCAACTCTAATTGAGTTCCAAATTCCAAAGGCTGGTTTACAATGGCTGAATTTTGCCGAATTTCCAAAGTTGGCCAAAAACCAACCCCGAAAGCTGTCTTCATGTTTAAAATAGCAACTTTGAGCCAATTTTTGAATACTTTCCGTCTGGAATCATGCAAGAGTGTATTCTATGAACTTTTTGTATGTTGGAAGAAGTTTCCAACGGTACCAAGTTTTCTAATTTTTGACTTGTAAAGCGTGAGGTACGATTTTTCTAATGTATCATATCAAAACTGAAATTTTCCGAATTTCAAGGAAATGAAGTTTTTCAAGTACTCCTTATTCCTTCGATACTACTTGAACGTTTTATATTCGATTTCCAAGATGAAAACTATATTTCTCTTGTATTTTGGAACCCCACTTGAGAGCTTCGATTTAGGATAAATAAGACTCGTTTCACGAGACTTTCTAAGATTGTACTATGGTACGATCTTCTTTAATAGTAGGGGTTTATAAATGATTGTTCATTACTATTTATTCAGGCACACAAGAGGATCTTCAAGAGGATCCCACAGTGAACGCCTAAAGCTCCGAGGGACATTTCTTCCTTATTACTTATATTGGTGAGTGTCAAGTGTATGAATACTTTATACAAATTTAATTGTTATGATTGTTTGGAGATTTTTAAAATGGAGGCGAGTGTGTACTTTACCGCACTCGTTCTTATTTGAAATGAATGACTCATGATTCAAATGAAACGAATGAATTATGAATGACTTAATTGAATGAAATGAGATGATTGAATGTTGAATGAAATGAAATGGTATGCTATGGCTGTGTGACGGCACCACCTCCCCCTAGGCGTACCCTAGGGTTTAGCGGACCGCTTGCCCAACTCTCGCCAGGACTCACTCACTCGCATCCATTAAAATAAGGTGCAACATCAATAATAAACGAAATAACGGTTCCCAAGTTTGGAACATACAAATACATTCATTTTTATCTCAACCATCCATATAGTCCCAAATACATCAAAAGATTTAAGGTCTCAGTACATTCAACCCTAATCGAGCGACTAGTGCGAGTACAATTACAGAATTCAAAACAACTAGACTACGCTAGTCTATACACGTCTCACGCCTCGCTCGTACCCCTGTAAGGAAAACAAATGGCGTGGAATGAGCTAAAAGCCCAGTGAGGTTTCAAATAGCAAATTGACCATTATTTATAAGTACAAGTTTTCGATATAGCAAAGTAACGAGCATGAAGAATTCATAAAAGTGAGCAATAACACGTCAAGTAGCAATCTCAAAATAAGCGAGTGTAAAAATTTTTCAGAAGAAACAATAATCCAATAAGCAATAGTCGTTCCAAAGTATAAGGATACGGAGGGCTCTCAGGAGCCAAATTCCCATTGCAACACCAGGAGCTTGATCACGTAATAGTTGACACTCCGTCAACTTTCAAGTAAGTAACCAATCCAGTAGAACACCACTTACACTACTCTCCGTCTACCATTCAAACCCCCTACTGGACCCAAAATCCTCAACAAACACGGGTGATAATACTCGAGTATACCGATTAGTCGAGGAGATATCACTCCACTCGACAATCAAGAGACCCAGGGTTTGTTACCCAATCGACCAAGCCCTTGCCGGCTCGACTCGAGTAACTTGCCTCAGGGTTTCTGGAATTCCAGGAAGTGCGCACATCATAAACAAGTATATCAAATCAGTTTCAATAATAAACAAGTATATATCAAGTAAGGGCAAGTGCGATAAAGTACACTCTTGTCCGATCAAACC